TTACAGCCATCTGTAGGATGATGAATCGTTTCTAGAACCTTTATCTGGAATCTGAGCCAAAACAATTAGAAAAGAGATAAAAACCAGATTAAACAGACAATCGAACACAGGTGTCCATTAAAAAACAGAAGTCAATGAAAATGCTGAAGGAAATATATATTATATTTCCCTCTGTCCAAGATCCCTTATATGATGCTCAATCATGAAGAAAATAAACATCAATGATTCATTTTTAACACTTGTCAGAGTTTAACATTCACTTCACTACATCAGATAAAGGAACATTCATCTTTAAAAAAATAAATAAAATGGTTTTGATTTTTTTTTCACCAAATTGAAAGATGATGAATGACTTATTTCATCTGATTATGAATATTTTGGTTCAGGAAATGGTCTTTTGCTTTTGAGATGTTCTTATTCTACTTCAGATTGTCAGACTGGTCCCATAGTATGCATTCTATTTTTTTTTTCATTCCGAGCTCTATGCCCTAACCACTAGGCTGCCACTCCCCTTAAAAGAGAAAATTATTAATTTTCATTGAGGGCAAATTTAGTTTAAGATTATTTTAATCTTGTAGAATAAATTATTAATTTAATAATGCATTTTAGATCACAGGAGTCATAAAAGGGGGCTGGTTAGCCGCCTATCATGACCAATGGGGTCTGTTTGGCTTCACTTCTTTTTGCCTTTTTGTTAGCTTGCATCTTAAAGTCCCGCCGGATTCTCGGTTGGTTATTATGAAGCCTCAGCGGAAGTTCAAATGAAGAAACTAAACTACCTGCCTCATCATCAGAGGCCCACCTGTTTCTCACGCAAACCAGTTCATCTTAAAAGGTCTTCAGGTCCACGACCCAGACTGCTGCGCAGTCAGGTTGCGCTGTGTCTGATTTTGGCTCAGATTCTCATGTATCTGTTTATGCATATTAAAATAAAATTCAGCGCTAATGTTTCCTAAACAGTTCTGAGCACCAAAACCTTAACATTATTGTATAAATGCAATTCTTCTAATTGTCTTTCTTTGTTTGACATTCTCCTTTTTCTCTTGGGTTCTCAGGTTTATAGTAGGGGGTGTCCTGATACAATTATTTCAATATCCAATATTGCAGATTTGAGAATTTCCTGATACCAGTATTGAACTGATACGATATTAGCATGAATCATACGGGCTTTTATTACTCATTTTATACTGTAAAATGTAAGAAAAGCCCCAATCAAGTAATATCACTGAAACAGAGAACAAAAGTCAACAACCAACCAACCCTTTTTTTTAACAGAAGCAGGGTGTTTCTCTCAGCATGAAAATATCAGAGATTTTAGGGACCAGCCAATAAAATCTGATTTTTATTATTTTTTTTGGCTACTATAGGATATCCGATATTAATTTCAGATGGGGATACTATTAGTTTACAGCAGAGGTGTGTCGGAACATTTTACCAGCAGCTCTGTTAGGATATTTTTCATGTGTTTCTTCCTGCCAGTATATTACAGCCATCTGTAGGATGATGGATTGTTTCTAGAACCTTTATCTGGAATCTGAGCCAAAACAATTAGAAAAGAGATAAAAACCAAACAAATCAAACAAATAAAACAAACAAAAGTGTCCATTAAAAAACAGAAGTCAATTAAAATGCTGAATACATACAGAGGGACTGAGGAAAAAATTAATTTCCCTCTGTCCAAGATCCCTTCACTTCACTATATTAGATAAAAGAACAGTCATGTTAAAAAATAAAATAAAATACAGTGAGGAGAGAGGAGATAAATTAAAGGGTTTAGTTAAAAAAATAACAGTTATGAATATAAAACAGAATTCTAGATGTAGAAACAGGCAGTATTACCAAAACACCTGCAAATATTTGATTTATATTACAGTAATTTGATCTTTTACTTTGAACAAATGTTAAGTCAATTTATCGTCCTGCTTGGTTTCTTTCCACTAATCTCTGCAAATACCTTCTGTTCCACAGAGGTGCTGCCTGTAGAAGAAATCCTAAATCAGCTCTCCATAGAGTTACAGGTAAGTCCAAAAACTAACATACATCTACATTTTAGAATATAGCTGTTTAGTGAGATAGTTAGACAGACATACAGATAGATGAGATAATATCGGAGTCCTTGCAGATAAAGCTACACATTTATGCACCAATGCTGTCTAAATTAATCATTTATTGTTTTGCATAATTTTGAGTTGATTAATTGTTCTTGTTTTTTTTTTGTTGTTGTTGTTTTTTTACACTGAAGACTCAGATTTCTTGCAGAGGATTAACTTTCCCTTCTCCTCCATTAAGCACAAAAAATAGAAATATTTAAATAGCATCTTTAATGATGTGATTAATTAACCAATGTGCATTTTTTGTCTGTTTATTGTCAATATTCTAACAATCAAAATGTCAAAAAAAGATAACAGCTAAAAGTACCACTGCTGCCACCCTCTGGATTAGAGGGGAATTGTTTTTTTTTTTCTGCGGTAGGGAGTTATGTCCACATGGGAGCAGCAGAGGTACCTTAAGATTATTTTTCAAAACTTGCTTCTAAATCTGCTGTTTTTTGATGCCAAGGAGCCAAAATGTGTCACTTTTGATCAAAATGTTCTATTTTTCATCATAGTGATTTTAAACTAACTATGTGGTCGAGCTGTTTCTTACACACAAACGAGCTTCATCAAAGGACATATAATGTTAATAGGTGTGAGCTGAGCAGGAAACACACAGCTCCTAAAATAGATTGATCCAAGCTGTACTGCTGATGACCTTCCTGCTGATTCTGGTTTAAATTAGATGAATGCATGTTTCTCAGTTGCAGGAAGGCCATGAGAAAGTAGCCGAGCAGATCAGCAGGGACGTGAGCCAGCTATGCTCCCAGCTGGCTGAGCTGTGGAGCCATTTCCTGGAAGTCGCCGTGCTCAACCCCTACATCCTGTCCTATCTGACCCAGGAGCATCACACGCTTAGGGTGAGTTTCAAAATAATAATAAAAAGAGAAATCCGCCAATGACATTTTGCTGAGTTACTGTGTAATAGAAGACAGTGCAGATTATATTTGATATGATCCCTTTTGTGTGAAAAAAACAGGTTTATCTGAAAAAAAAAACTAAATAATAAAATGTTTTTATTTATTTTTTTTTATTTTAGTTAGTCGCTATAAAAAAATGAAGCTCATAAATTACATTTATTCATTTCAAGTAAGTTAATTGTTCTTGAAATAAATGTTCTTTCCCTTGATTTGTCAGTTCAGTGAGACAATTTGCCAATGTGAGTTTGGTTATTTTGTAATTCAGATAATAATTATGATTTTGACTAACTTTGAGTTACAATGATTATCAGAATCAGAAATACTTTAATTATCCCAGAGGGAAATTACTTTTGTTACACGCTCCAGTTACAGTTGTATATAATATATACACACACATCCAACTATACAATATAATAAAGATAAAAAAATAAGAATAAAAAGAGATAAAATATATACACATATAGCTCTTCTGTATATATATCTGTACGTATATCTATGCATATGTAAAAACTAAATCCAAATAAAGTGAAAATCCAAGTAAAGTGATAAATCCAAGTAAAGTGATACGTGGCGTGCAAAAATAGTGCATAAATGTCAATTCCAGATATGTCACAGTTTAAATGAGGAATAAGGTGAGATCATTCCAGATACCTCAAAAGGCTTTTTGATTCTCCATAATGTGATGAAGATAACTGTTATTTTCACTAGTCATAATAAGAATTCTGATATCTTAAAGTATCATTCAGGGTAGTCAAAATGTAGTTTTTCTTAGTCAAAACTCTTTGTTTGATAACTTACAAGTAATTACGCATAGTCATAAGAAGCTTTTATGTTAAAATGGCCTGCCATATTTATTGCTCGTAGGGGATGATCACACAATGATACAACTCGGAAAATGTATGCAAAGAAATGGGTTTGAAAAATTGTGTGGCACATAATAGTCATACCACTACCTCACCGTTGTTCCTCACCTACTACCGGTACACTTTAATGTAAAAGTCAATCCACCTGTATATAAGCCATCCTGATTGTACATATGTCACCTCAAATCTCTGTGTTACTCCCTTGGATTTTTTTTTTTATTTCTTATTTTTATTTATTTTTTAATTTATTTGTATTTATTTTTTATTCCTAATGCACCTTTTCCTCCTTGTTTGCACCTTTTTTAATTACTATGCCAATATGTGACGAGTGAATTTCTCCGCGATGAGATCAATAAAGCTCATCTAATGTAATCTAATTTTTTTATATCTTTTGTATCACTTTAACCGGTGTATAAAATATATATTTAATATAAACAAACAATGCTTAGGGCCCAGGTAAAGCCTGGCAGGTCACTGGTTTTGCAAACCAATGGCAAAACCATGCAGAAAGATGCTCATGCACCACCGTTTTTCGACACTTTGACAAGAATAAAAAAACCCAGTCTGGACTGCCTGATGGTGTCTCCAATTTCTTTTAAGGCAATACAAGATTTTTTATTTATTTTTGTAGCCATATATGCATGTAAATATATAGTAGTGTAATAGGGAATAATGAAAAAAATATTAGCAATGTGTAGCAACAGGTTGGGCGGTCAGAACACTACAACGCTGCTAAATGCCCTGTTTACTTCCAGCATGCTCTCAGTTACCAAAAGAAACCTCAACCCTGGAAATGTTCAGCTGACAAATAAAGGATCTTTAATTCCAGAACAAAAACAAATAAACTTCCATAATAGAAACATCTTTGCACCTCCAATAACTACGGATGATAAAATATATAATGAAAATTAAATGCGTTATAGAAAGTCTCACTGATGCCTTCTTTTCAGTAAAAAAGCCTGAAATACTAGAATATCTGGCTTATTAGAAAATTGAGAAACAGCCTGGATCCAGTAGCTAAAGCCATCCATCTAGTCAGGCTAATGTAGTGTCCAGAGTAATTTCTTTCTGATCACTGGACTGTAAAATAGGATAGCCGTATGTTCCTCACTGCAGTAGCTCATAGGACTTTATTATGCTTCACTGTTTTATCTCATTTATCTGCAAACAATGAACATGTAGGCCTCTGTATTTAATTACCCCAGGAGGGTACTGTCATGCCTCTTCTCTCTGGGAGAGTTAGGGTTTCAATTAACACTTATTTTCTAATTACTGTCAAAGGAAATACACAAGAAAGTGTGTTGGCGGTGATCTGGGTGTCATGCTCACTTACTGTTAGAGTTGATGCATTTCTAATTAGACAAAGATTTGCTCTGTTGCACAGACTGTCTGGGCTGGATTTTTTTCTCTTTGCTTCTATTTTAATAACCTCTTGTGCTTAAGACGGTAAATACAGACTGAGTCGAAAATATTTTTCTTTCTTGTGTTTGGAAATACCAGGTGAGAAGGTTCTCAGAGGCATATTTCTTCACTCAACACCCAAAAGAGGTCTGTCTGACATTTCAAGAAGAGCTGTAAGTTTCTGTACTTTCCTAAAGCTGCTGATTTGAGCTGAGAGAGTTTGTTAGATTTCTTAAACATTTCTTGTTGTTTTTTTTGTTTTGTTTTTAGAATCAACAGACATGGCAAGATAGCTGGAGAAGTCCGTAGCTCATACTACTTGACCAAAATGCCTCCTTTACCTGTCGAGTGCCTGGACATTGATGGAGACTGGAATAGTTTGCCCATCATCTTTGAGGACAGATATGCTGATTCTCTGCAGACAGGTAACACAGATTCTACAGCAAGCATTCCCTTTCTAAATTCTAAGTGATGCGCGTCATGGCAACTGCAAAACAGGGTTTATTCAGAGGCAACAGTGCAAGATGACAGAATTGACAAATAATCCTGAATAGGTGTCAAAACCTCTAAGCGAAAGTCCCATTTGCCTCCTATTTAAGCCTGTTTGTGATACAGGAAGCATTAGCCCCATTTACACTACCCTTTTGAAACCGACACTTTCTTGTGTGCACGGTAACCGATATAACTGAAGAGTATAAATCGCATGCAAAACTGAACTGGAACGTGCTAGACAACCAAACCATGCTAAACTGGTACTAGTTCATCAATAGGGCTCGGTGTGGTTCAGTTCTGGCTCAGTTCTCAGATAACAAAGAGTGCATGAGCAGACTGCGTCATCTCCTTACAGTCAGCCTCTGTAATCATGAAATTTCAGCCATTCATAAAAATACTAGCTTCCCTACCGTGCCACTCGATTTCCGGTGATGATTCTGCTTAGCAGTGAGATGAACCTAAACGTCTGTTGTTTTTTTCCTGGGTCTGTACGCCCTGATTAGACCATAGTTTGTCGTATCTACTTCCCAAAAGCTGACTCTGTCAAGTAAATTCACCAAAGGCTGCCTTCTTCGCCTGACTCTCCTATCCCGTGAGACCGTCCTGATCTCGCAAGCTTTCAAGATTTCACTCGCTAATCAGTCTGGAGACTCTCCGTTGAAGAAAATTTGGAGCAGTTCACCAAACGAATGTCCAATCAGCGTTGGCTCTGAGGCGGGTTGAGGTGTGACGCAACGAGAAGCACGACAGTGCAGTCTAAAGAACATGGCGGCTTCAGCCGATGAAACTAGCGTTAGCGTGGCTATCGAGCAAGTTTTATCGGAATTACAGAGTATTTCTTCACTGAAAGAAGAGCAAAACACTGCTCTGGAGGCTTTTCTCAGAGGAAAAAATGTTTTTGCTCTTCTCCCGACTGGTTTCGGCAAGAGTACCCTGGCTTGTGGTTGTGTTTTTGTCGTCGCTCTGTTAGTACGTCATATGCTTCGTTGATCTGATTGGTTTATTTAGCCCGTCTATCACCAATAGGCCAATCAGCTAACCAGTATTTTCGCCCCTTCCCAAAATTACTTCAACGGAAGGTTTCCAGATGGATATGCGGAGCAAATCCATCTGGCGGAGTCAGGTTATGACTCTCCGCAAACAACAAAAAATCACAATTATAATCTAACTTCCTGAATGCTACGGCCGCTGCCATGTTGATTTGCTTGTTTTAGAGAGCAGTAGTACAGAAGATCGTGACTAGGAGGCGACGAACCCTGCTAGAGTGGTGTGTAAACGGTCATAAGGAACCAAGTTCGACACGTTTAACAGATCCAAGCTCAGTCCGAACTCGGCGCAGATCGGTTTTCACAGGGTAGTGTAAATGGGGCTTTTTATACAGATTGTGGTTTTTTGTTTTGTTTTGCAGAAGCTGTATCACATGTGCCAACTAGAGACAGAATTGGCTTACAGTCACCCGTCCAGTGTCCTGCTCAAAGGATTCTTCATAGCAGCATTGAAGCCATATCGCCAGCGTTATCCCAGCATTCCATGGAGACTGAAGAATGCAGGGAGCTGCCTGAGCATAACCCAGACATAGCGAATTGTAGTCCAAATAACATTGTCTGTAGCAGTGCTCTAAACCCAGCAGAGCAGAGTCTGGAACATTCTGAGGTTCCAGAACAGAACTTAAAGGAACCAGAAGAAAGTCAAGGCACTGATACGGCTACATATATTAAAGATGATCCTTCCTCTAAAATTAATCTCCTCACTGATTGTACGAACAGTGGTAAGGAATCTCCTGTTCTCGATGGAAAAGAAAATATCTCTATACCCTTTGATAGTAACATTAGTGCAACAAAAGAAGAAGAAAACACTGAAGAGGACAGCGACAGCGCTTTACCATTGAATCAGTCTATTGACGATGACAGCGAAGACGCTCCCATGAACAGCCTGCTGACCTCCACTGTTAGTCCTGCTCTACTGCCGTTAGCAGGAGACATCAGAAGAGAAATTACTCCCAGTGGAGGTTTAAGAAGCTCAAAGATCATGAAGCGGTCATCATCTGTAATTTCAGATTCGGGTATTGAAAGCGAGCCCAGTTCGGTGGCATGGCCGGTGGAAGCTGCACTTCGTGAACGACCATCTCTAGATTTTTCTAGTGAGCGGGAGATCCCAAAGCAAATGGTGATCGACCACCCAGTCCATCGCAGCTGCCTGGAAGGCCTGCGAATGGAGAGCAACAGCAGCCTACCGAGTGGAGGCATACAGGCCTCCCTTACCTCAATTAGCTCGTTGCCTTACGAAGAGGACCAGCAACAGAGGAAACTCAGCAAACTGACCAAGTCTGTCTCTGCACCGCAAATAAGTAGCCCCGAAGATGCAGAGGAAGATAAGGTTCTTATCAGTTTGGAAAAAGAAAGAATGAGAGCAGTACAGCACCAGGATTTTCTTACTATGAACACTAAAACGGCATTAGAGCAGCCAGAGTTGCCTCCGCTCAGCATAAACACCGACCACATTGATATGGACATGGGCTCTACAAATTCAAACTCTCAGCAGGATCTGCCAGAGACCTGCAGAAGAAAGTCGGTGTTAAGTGGTGCGTCTGATGTGTTACTTTCCCCAAGCTCTAGAGAAAAGCTTTTTGTACAGAAGAGTGTTGTCATTGAAAGCAGTTTGGATGAAAATAAACATCAATCACACCTGAGTAGAGAAAGTGCTTCGGTGGAAGATGTGCATCTCCAGGAATCAGAAATATCTCCCTGTAGCTGCCAAAACAAACCATGTGTGTGTGAAAATCCACCGGAGCAGGACAGAAGTAGCTGCAAAGATGATCGCCAGAGTTTTCATCAGAGTGAGCAGGGAGACATTGATGAAGGAAGTCTCAATCCTTCACAGATGCCCCTGAAATCGTCACAGTCCAACAATCTTACCAGCAGGAGCAACATCAGACCAAGTGACCTCACAGGGCTGAAGGCCATGGAAATAACATCACCTGCTACCCTCAATAGAGCATCAACAAGTGATAAAGATCCTTTGGACTGTCAGAATAAACCCTCGAGAATTCCCAACTCCGGCTTGGCCTTTGTGAATAAGAAGATGGTGGAGGTGGTAAACATGTCGGTGTCCTGTGCTCCGACTTGTCTGCCGTTTTCTTCCGTCCTGAGAGACTCTCCTTCTATCAGTGGAATATCTGCTCGGCAAAGTTCCTCACCAATTACCCATCAGCCACTGGGCTCCTTCGGTATCATCTCCTCATCTTCACACAGCCCCTTAACCATGGATCAGGAAACCAACGAACGGATGCTGAAGTGAGTTACAACACATTTAAAATAAAAAAGCAACTCTCTTTTCAAACATGAAACATTGTTTTTTAAAAATTTAAAGCAGTTTAATTTTTTTTTAAACATAGATAGCTGCAAAATAATAAGTAATGTGCAAATTATTCCCATGTATGATGCAAGCAGCCAAATTAAAACGTATTGTGCCTTTTTGCAGCTATGTATTGTCACACCTTGCTGTTTTATGTATGTATTTCCATTATTGTTGAAATCAAACAACACATTTTCTAAATGAAAATCTGTGAAAGAAAAAAAATGCAATCAAGGAATGAAATTTAGAAAAACTTTGCTGTTTTCTCAGAGCACATAAGAAAAATCTCCCTCCATCCTTTTTGTAATTATATCAATGCCTCCTTCGTGACCAAAATTAAATTTTTTTGATATTTTTGCATGTCAGTTTGCTCCTGACGTTTAGAAGTACGATTTTGAAAACTGCTTTGCATGTGGTAAATGTTTACATTTAATATCCTTCACACATGAATTTGCACAGTTTGATATTAGAATATTATCTGCATAATAATATTCTAAAATAGAAAAGAAAATGTGCGCACATTGCCTGCAGGACATCAAATGCAAATCACTTTGCACCTTTCTTAAATACCTGGTCTGCGCATATGAAACTTCTGAAGATCAGCCCAGGACCTTATAAGCTTCCAAACTGTGTTGCAGGTTTGTTCTCCAGTAGGAGAAAAAAAATTAACTAGAGCTAAAATGAGACAGTTTAGATCAAAGCATATTGTCGTGTTAAAATATCGCAGCCTAAGCCTAGACCAGGGGTAACCAATTGAAAATTAGCGGAGTCCAAATAAAGAAAATCAACAACCAGTAAAGGTCTGGAGGCATTTTTAATTATAATCTGTTACTTTAAACAGCATTTAACACTGAAATAAAGTACAGGTATTTATGCATCCATGTTATACATTGATTTTTTTTTATTAAAAAACATAAAAAAATTAGGAAATTTTTCCATTTTAAAATCTAAAGTGTTTTTTGAAGTATAGAACAACAATTGTTCAGCTTGGTATACAGACAATTTCCTGATTCACATATTTTATAAAACACAGTTTGTTGTTTTTTCTGTCTTTTTTCAGAGAAGTTGGTTTTATGCTGACCTGCAAGGCTTTACCTCAGCAGCAGGCTGAGCCAAACATACTCAAAATGTGCAAGGTCATCTTTCAATTCAATTCAGTTTAATTCTATAGCGCCAATTCTCAACACATGTCATCTCAAGGCACTTTACAGTTCACAAGATCATAGAGTCAGATTGATT